CCCTCCGACACCTTCTCCAGAGTTCCTGGGTCCAGGCTCCGACACGTAGGCCTTTCTGGGTCTAACCCGTGGCTCGCTCCTTCCTCACTCAGCTTTCCTGTGACTCCTCGAGGCTGCTCAGTGACCCTGGCCTGTGGTGTCCGCCTGCAGTTCCCAGCGGGAGCCACCGCCACCCCCATCACCATCCGCTATCGGCTGCTGCTGCCAGAGCCAGGCCTCGTCCCCCTGGGTCCTCATGATGCCCTGCTCAGCCATGTGCTGGAGCTGCAGCCGCATGGGGTGGCCTTCCAGCAGGCATGGCCAGGGTGTGGCGGGGGGCAGTGTGTGGGCCCAGGCCTGGCCCCAGCCCTCACACCATCCTTGCCTGGCAGGATGTGGGGCTGTGGCTGCTTTTCACCCCACCACGGGCCCGGCGCTGCCGTGAAGTGGTGGTCAGGACCCGGAATGACAACAGCTGGGGTGACCTGGAGACCCACTTGGAGGAAGAGGCACCCCAGGTGAGGACCACTCAGGCCTGCCGGTGGCGACTGGGGAGCCGCTGCCCTGAGCCCTGCACCCCTGCCCAGAGCCTCGACCTGGCACCTTCCACCCCACCCCGTCCCTCCTGGATCCTGCTCCCCCATGTCCCGGGCACCTTCCACCCCGCCCCATCTCTCCTGGATCCTGCTCCCTGTGTCCTGACCCAGGCTCCTCTGACTTCCCTGCTCCCCTGTCTCAGCGGCTCTGGGCTCACTGCCAGGCACCCCACTTCTCCTGGTTCCTTGTGGTTTCCCGCCCTGTGTCCAATGCCTGCCTGGTGCCACCAGAGGGGACATTGCTGTGCTCCTCGGGTCATCCTGGGGTCAAGGTCATCTTCCCCCCTGGGGCCACTGAGGAACCTCGTCGAGTCTCCATGCAGGTATGGCCAGGACAGCACCAAGGGTGGCAAGCGGCGCCTTGGCCCACAGGCAGGTGCTCAGAGGCCCGTCTGCCTCAGGTGGTGCGCATGGCTGGCCGAGAACTGCAGGCCCTCCTAGGAGAACCAGAGGCTGCAGTGAGCCCCCTGCTGTGCCTCTCACAGAGCGGTCCCCCCAGCTTCCTCCGACCGGTCACCGTGCAGCTGCCTCTGCCCTCTGGCATCACAGGTGAGAGGTGGCCATGGGGCATACCTGGACCTGTGGCTGTAGGGTGGGGGGGGTCTCCAGCCAGGCAGTCTCAGCCCGCTGACCCTCCCATCCCCAGGCCTCAGTCTGGACCGCTCCCGTCTGCACCTGTTGTACTGGGCCCCTCCTGCAGTCACCTGGGATGACATCACAGCTCAGGTGGTCCTGGAGCTCACCCACCTGTACGCACGCTTCCAGGTCACACACTTCTCCTGGTCAGTGCCCCCCAGCTTTCTCAGCCCCCCTCCCCCAGTCTGTACAGCCCCCCTCACCCCCAGCCCTCCCAGGTACTGGCTCTGGTACACCACCAAGAACTGCGTGGGAGGCCTGGCTCGGAAGGCCTGGGAGCGACTGCGGCTGCACCGTGTGAACCTCATCGCTCTGCAGCGGCGCCGGGACCCTGAGCAGGTCCTTCTGCAGTGCCTGCCCCGAAACAAGGTGAGGGCGCAGGCTGGAGGGCAGCAGGGTGGCGACCAGAGAGCTGGGGTGGGGTGCAGGGCTTTGGGTTGCAAGCTACACGGGCTTCCCTGCAGGTGGATGCCACCCTTCGGCGGCTGCTGGAGCGGTACCGGGGCCCCGAGCCCTCTGACACAGTGGAGATGTTCGAGGGCGAAGAGTTCTTTGCGGCCTTCGAGCGCGGCATCGACGTGGATGCTGGTAAGACCTCCCTGTCCTAGAGAGGGAGCCTTACCGTCTTCCCTGCGCCCTCCTTGCTCAGCCCACCCCTGCCCCCTAGACCGCCCTGACTGCGTGGAGGGCAGAATCTGCTTTGTCTTCTACTCACACCTGAAGAATGTGAAGGAGGTATACGTGACTACCACTCTGGACCGGGAGGCCCAGGCTGTGCGGGGCCAGGTGGGTGAGGGGGGTGGGTGAGGGGGGTGGGTGAGGGGGGTGGGCGAGGGGAGAGGCCCCCCAGGCCACTTGGGCAGAGGACCGAGCTCTGAACCCCATTTGATGCCCCTTCAGGTGTCCTTCTACCGTGGCACAGTGCCTGTGCAGGTACCCGAGGAGGCTGAGGCTGCCCGGCAGAGGAAGGGCGCAGACGCCCTGTGGATGGCCACTCTGCCCATCAAGCTGCCGGTGGGACTGAGGGACAGCAGAGGGGCGGGGCAGGACCGAGGCCCAGGGGTGACCAGGGGGACGTGGTAGAGTTGGGGTGGAGCCCAGGGCTTACTGCACTTTTTCCTTCCAACAGAGACTTCGGAGCTCTGAGGAGCCACGGCGGAGGGCTGGCCTCTCCTTGGCGCCCTTGAACCTGGGAGATGCTGAGACCGGCTTTCTGACACAGAGCAACCTGCTGAGCGTGGCTGGGCGCCTGGGTCCAGACTGGCCAACTGTGGCCCTGCACCTGGGCGTGTCCTACCGTGAGCTGCAGCGCATACGGCACGAGTTCCGGTGAGACTGCCACTACCCGCTGGCTGCCAGCCCTAGGGCTGAGCCCTGGCTGCCTGGAGGGCCCACCTGATGCTGACAGAAGTTTCTTCCAGGGGAGGTGGGCAAAGGGCAAACACCAGGCTGGGAAAGGAAAGATCTGGCCGCAGTTGGCCCAAGGAGCCGGGAACTCCCCCACACTCCGAGGCAGAATGTGGTGGCGGGTCCTGGGCAGGTGGGTAGGACCCCTCTGTCACCTGTCTTCTGCCTACAGGGATGATCTGGATGGGCAGATCCGCCACATGCTCTTCTCCTGGGCTGAGCGCCAGGCTGGGCAGCCAGGGGCTGTGGGACTCCTGGTGCAGGCCCTGGAGCAAAGTGACCGGCAGGACGTGGCAGAAGAGGTGCGTGCAGTCTTGGAGCTCGGCTGCCGCAAGTACCAGGACGGCATCCGACGCACGGGTTTAGCCCCCAAGGACCCCGCTCTGCCTGGCTCGTCAGCTCCACAGCCCCCAGAGCCTGCCCAGGCCTAGGCCCCACAGACTTTGGGCTGGCCCGGACATTCCCCAGCGGATGGGCAGAGCCCCCACCTTCAAGCCTCTCCAGTGTGTGGGGACAGGCGTCCCCGTGGGCAACAAACCCGCACTGTTTCTTTCGCCATCTCAGAGCTCGATTTATTTGTTGGATGGAGAAGCCGTTGGAGGGTGGGGGTGGCGTGGTAATCAGAGGCCTGGACCCTGCGGGGAGGGAGCCCTTTGTGCACAGATGCCCCACAGCCTGGTCCTGTTCTCTCCCACTGTGCCTGGGGCCTCCTGTGAGTCCTCATCTTCCTGGGGGTGAGGAGCTGTGCTACAAAGTAACCCATGTGGGGTTTTTTTTTTTTTTTTTTGAGATGGAATTTCTGTCACCCAGGCTGGAGTGCAGTGGCATGATCTCAGCTCACTGCAACCTCCACCTCCCAGGTTCAAGTAATTCTCCTGCTTCAACCTCTTGAGTAGCTGGGACTAGAGGCACTTGCCACCACACCGGGCTAATTTTTGTATTTTTAGTAGACGCGGTGGGGGGGGGGGGGCGGTTTCACCTTGTTGGCCAGGCTGGTCTCGAACTCCTGACCTCAAGTGATCCGCCTGCCTTGGCCTCCCAAAGTGCCGGGATTGCAGGCGTGAGCCACTGTGCCCAGCCCCGAGTGGGGTGCTTTGGATACAAAGTCGCTGTTGGGCAGGCGGGGTTGTGCCTCCACTTCACTTCGCTGGCCCAGCAGTTCCACGGAGCACCTGTATCTGCACTGGAGGCCACGCCTCCCCCAGGGCACCCTCATCCACCGGCGCTTTGCCACCTACCCGCGCCTCGCGGGTCCTTGTCCCTGCAGGGGCCTGAGGCCTGGGAACCAAGAAAGGACCTTGGGGACGCGCGGCCCGGCCTCTGCGCGCAGAACTGCCACCCTGCCGGGGTGGGGGGGGACCCGGGGCGAGGAGGCAGGTGGGCGCGTGGCTGTGGCCTGGCTGGGCGCAGTAGCCTCGGCGGCCGGGAGGGGGAGCCGAAGCCCGGAGGAGGCCGAGGGCGGAGCGCGCGCAGCGCCGAGCGGACGCGCCTCCCCGCCTAGGTGCTGGCCGAGCGCGCGGCGGGGCGGGGAGGCGAGCGCGGCGGCGGCGGCGAGCGCGGTGAGTGCCCGGCGGTTCCCTTCTGCGCCCATCCGAGTGCGGCCGGGCTGCGGGGGCGAGAGGTCCCGCGGTGGCCGAGGAAGGTGACAGCTGCCCGAACAACGTGGCCTGGCGGGCGGGACGGGGGGGTCCTGGACCAGCGGATGCTCGGATCCGCGGCTGCCCTGGCGTGAGAGGCCGTGCTCGGCCCCGACGGTGCCGGGCGCGCTCCCGCACACACGTGTCCCCCAGGGTAGATGTCTGGGGCCCGAGTCCAAGGAAGAGAGACCGAGCCATGTGGGACGCACACGTGGGATTTCACCGGACATCTGTGGACACGTGCGTGGCCCGAGTCGCGGTGGCCAGGCGGAGGACGGAGCGGTCGGCCGAGCCCCAGCAGTGAGGCAGGGGCCTGAGCCGGCCTCCGAGCGCAGAGAGCGGCCACCCGCTTCTCCTTTGTCCTCTGGCCGAGGCATCGCGAGGTTGGAGACCCCTTCCGGGACCCTCCAGCCAGCAGGATAGAAAGCACCGCCCCAAGAGGACGGGGACAGCGGGAGATTGAATGGGGGAGCCGCCAGCCAGACTCGGAGCCTCACCCCCATTGCCTTTCTTGGGGGTAGGAGGAGCCTGGCGGCTTTTTGGGAGGAGGATTTTACTCCTGCAGATTCGGAAGCAGCGGTATCTTCCTGTAGTGTGGTCTCTGCTCTACTGCTCTCTCCCTGGCTTGCCTGTGGCCTCGGTTGGCCTGACTATGAAGGGGGAACAGTGACGGCTCATAGCCCTGGGCCCAGCCGGGGCTGCAGGGTTTCTATGGTAACATCAGTGCAGGGGGAGGGCCCTGGCCAGCTGTCTCATAAGCCAGGGGTGGGAACTGCCGAGTGAGGACAGAAAGGTGGGGTTGGCGTTCAGACGGAACCCCTGCTGGTTCCTCCCTATGCAGAGCCCCTCGCTGTCCTCATTCTCCACCCAGAAGCTCCTCTCCACTGCAGTGGGTGCTGTGCGGGCCCAGGCCTGCCTCTCTGCCCTGGGATCTCTAGGCCTGCTTCTCTTCCTGGGACTAATGGCCCCTCCCCACTGATTTCTAGGATTGTTCCCATCATGCAGGTGTCCTTGTTCCAGACTGGAGATAGGCTCCCAGGAGGAAGGGGATTGCTCAGTCCCTGGTGGGCCAGGGTACACCCCTGGGAGGGACTAGAGCGGAGATGAAGGGCCCAGGGCAGCCTGGAGAGCTGTGGCCAGTCTGCACCCAAATAGTGGGCTGGGGGAGGTGGGCTGCTGGGAGAGATCAGGTTGAAGTTCAGAGGTCAGCTCGTCACCACCACTGGCTGAGGCAGGGAGAGGCAGGTCTCCTGGCGGTGAAGCCCTGAGTGGGACGGGGGTGGGGCAGAGGGCTCTGGGCATGCCAGCTTCCATGCCCTCTGGACCTGTCAGGTGAGCAGGGCCTGTGGGTGGCACCAGTGGCCTCTGAGACCCAGCCAGCCCTTCCCTGTGGACAGCAGGCCTTTTTTTGTGGCCCAGCATGAGGCTTCCCTGACATGCATCTGCCCTAACAGACAGATCCCACAGACATGAGTGGGTGTCAGCCCATCACTGCCCCACAGCACCAGATTCCCTGTCCAGGTACACATAGGATACCCTGGCCCTGAGAAAGCTTCATCCTCAGAGTACCAGCCCTAGACAGATCCAGGCCAGGAAATGCTGGAGTGCTCAGCCCACAGGCAGCAGACAGGAACCCGTGTGTGCCGGGGGCGTGGTGGCGACGCGCTGAGGTCCCTGCTGGTGCGTGGTGTGTGCCAGGTCAGCCTGAGTCAGACCCGCCCCCGCTCATCCCTCCTCTCAAGGCTGCGGGAAGCCTCCACTGGCCCAAAGTGAAAGAGAAAGTAGCCCCCTGCAGGCCCGCCCCACCCCGCCCCACGGCCAATCCCTGCGGCCCCTCTCCGCCTCCCCCGGCAGCTTCCCCTCCTGTGTGAGTGCCGGGCGGGAGTGTGGAGAAGCCGTCCAGAGTGAGTGCCTGGGGCAGAGTGAGAACAGGACCAGTGGGCAGGTGGTGGAGTGGGGGTCGGTGGTGGATGGCTCAGCCCTGGAAAGCTGAGGTGAAGGTCAGGAGTCCCTGAGGATCTGTGGGTGTGAGCCAGCCGTGTGGCCCTGGGCAACGGCGCTGCCCGTGCCCGAAACAGCTGGCCTCCGGGGGACCCAGGGTGAGGAGGGAAGGCCCCCGAAGCTGGGATTTTATGGCCATGACCTTATGGGAGGCCCCTGAGGCTGTGGCTCCCCAGCCCTGCCGCTTAGTGGGAGAGGTCCGTTCTCCTCTCCTCTGTAGGGGATGGGCGTGCCAGCCACAGGGGGCCTCAGAAGGCCAGCCATCCCCCACCCCCAAGGCTTCCAGGGGTCCCATCACTGGCTTCTGTGTATCCATGAGTGAAACTCCTGGGAGGGGTGGAGGGGAGGAAGGTGGGCAAGGGGCTGGCCGTGGGGGGTGCGGGCTTCTTGGGGAGGAACTCTGCAGGCCCTGGGTGGAGCTGCTGCGGAAGGAGAGCTATACCTGGGACGGCTGAGCCCAGGTCGGCGGGGGGGGGGAGGTCTTAGGGCGCCCGAGACCTCAGCCGCAAGCTCGAAGGGGGCAGGTGCTGGCTGCTTCTCTCTGTGCTGAAGGATGTGGGGGATGGTCACCACAGCTGTCCAGGTCAAGGTGCTCCGGTAGGCACCCTGGCACCGGCCCCTGGCACTGCCCTCAGAGGTGCCTGGCCCTTTAAAAGCCGGAGCTGGCTGGGGTGCACGTGAGCCCGAGCGTGAGCGCGCGTGTGAGGCTGGTTGGGAAGACGCTGGCGGTGGGGAGGGGGGGATTGAAAGGAAGCCAGGTGGTCCCAGGGGTGGGCATGGGACTGGGTGGCAGGTGCCTCCTGCTGCTGCACCCTCAGGACGCAGTGACGGCTCCCGTCTGGGGTGGTGGGTGACAAGCTGCATGTGAGAGGGAGGCTGGGGGAGGATTACTCTTCGGGTGGCCCCACCCTCACTCATTCCCATCCCCTCTTCCTTCCAGGACAGAAGGGGCAGCTGCTGAAGCCTGGAAATTCCCCTGAAGGTGGAGCACCGCCCAACCCCCCTGGGTCCCAGCCTCCCTCAAGGCCTCCTCCACCTCCACCTCCACCCCACCCGGCCTGGCGTCCACCTCTTCGGCTCCTACCTGGGCACGATCGAGTTAAATGGCTGATAAGCAGATCAGGTCAGATTCCAGTCCTGGCTGCATGCCCCGCCCCCACCCTGACCCATGGTCGCAGAAACCCGTCCTGACACTTCTGTCCACACAGCCTGCCAGCCAAGCTCATCAATGGCGGCATCGCCGGGCTGATCGGGGTCACCTGCGTGTTCCCCATCGACCTGGCCAAGACCAGGCTGCAGAACCAGCAGAACGGCCAGCGCATGTACACAAGCATGTGAGTGTGCCAGGCGGTCGTGGGGAGTAGGCCCAGCATGTGGCAGCACGGGAGGCCAGGAGGGGGGCTCTGCTCCTGTGCCCCTCACTCTGTTTGACAGAAGGGAAACTGGAGGCAGGCAGGCAGGCCTGGGGGAGATCCCATGTGGGTCAGGACTGGGGTCAGAGCTGGGCTGAGGACTTGGCCTCTTATGTCAGCCCTAGACAGTCCAGGGACCCCGGCCTCCGGCTGGCCCCAGCTGGCCCCGGCTCACCCTGTCCCCTTGGCCACAGGTCCGACTGCCTCATCAAGACCATCCGCTCCGAGGGATACTTTGGCATGTATCGGGGTAAGGCTTGACTTGGCTCCGCTCGAGATGGGCAGGCCGGGATAGCGCCCGCGAGTCGTGGCAAGGAGCGGTGGGGGAGGCAGGGCAGGGCAGCCAGCCTGGGCCTGGTGTGTGAGCGTGGACGTGTCTGGGGGGGCTGTGCCTGTGCAGGGGACTGGATCTCTGGTGAGTGGCAGTTCTCAGCCCCTCCCGTGGCAACTCCCCGCCCCCTCTTAGTGCCTGGTGCGTGGGACGCCACAGTACATCTGTGTCCTCTGTGGTGGCCACAGCCGCCTCTGCTTTCTGGGACAGGCTAGACCCCGTCTATGGCTGGGGATGGGAGTAGGGGGAATTACCGCAAATCAGCTTAGGACGCCATCCGGAGCCTGGATTTGGTAGAAGCTCTGCAGCCCTGAGCCCTCGGCACTGAGATGGGGGCTCTCCACAGCCTCCCCCGAACTCTGGCCCACTCCAGACCACATGCTCGGGTGACTTCTGGCCCCAGTCCTCTGCCAGCACAAGCACCCTCTGTCCCCTAGGGAGGGAGGGGTTTCCCAGGGAGGCCTCAGGGGCTCCGGGATGATCCCCATGCCCCTAGCAGCAAGATGCTGTCCAGAATCAGAGACAGATGCAGTGGGCACGGGAACGCCTGAACCAGAGGTGCTGCCCCATCCGTGCCTGGCCCCCCGCCACCTGGCACACACCAGGCCCAAATGTGGGTGAGAGGGCAGGAGATGGCCAGGAGTGACTGGGATGGGGCTTTGACGGCCAAGCAGCAAGTCCTGGCCAAGCACCTCCCCACCCTGGCCACCGAGCATGTCCCCCAGCTGACCCCCTGCTCCACAGGAGCCGCTGTGAACTTGACCCTCGTCACCCCCGAGAAGGCCATCAAGCTGGCAGCCAACGACTTCTTCCGACATCACCTCTCCAAGGATGGGTGAGCGCCCTGCCTGGCAGACACTCAAGGGGTCTTGGGCTTCAGACAAAGGAGGGGTCCACCCGGCCAGCTGGGTCCCACCTGGGGGCTCGGCCTGTCTTCAGCCCCTTCCTTGGGGCTTCTCTGAGCTTGTGGGGTGGCCTCCCTCCTTTCCCCTGACCAGGGGAGCAGAGCAGATGGCAAATCAGTGGGGCTCTGGCCTGGCAGCCCTTGGCCCCCAGCTGCTGCCTGTGTAGTAAGCCAGGGCTTGAGGGCACTGACTGGTTCCCCCATTGCTGGAGGGGGGCTGCAAGGGCAGCCCCTTTTTAGGGCACTCGACCCCCAATTTCCCATTTTCTTTTATTGGAGACAGCGCCACTGCCCTCCCCAGGCCCTTGCCTGTGGGGCTGTCTGTCCATCGGGCTCCCCCCGCCTGCTGCTGCAGGGCCGGAGGCTGGGGCTGTACCCCCACAGGCCTGCATCTGCCTCCACAGCTCCCACCATCCTCTGCGCCCAGGCACGGTGGGCAGCCCCGAGGGTGGCAGGTAGGCTGTCTCTTCCCGCTCACCGCGGCCTTGCCCCTACCACAGGCAGAAGCTGACCCTGCTTAAAGAGATGCTGGCAGGCTGTGGGGCTGGCACCTGCCAGGTGATTGTGACCACGCCCATGGAGATGCTGAAGATCCAGCTGCAGGATGCAGGGCGCATCGGTGAGGGCGGGAGGAGGGAGGGGAGAGGGCAGAGGTGCTGGAAGGGGTGAGGGCGAGGGGAGGGCAGGGACACAGGGAGGGCCAGAGTGTGTCCCCTGCCCACTTTGCACAGAAGAAGAGACAGCAGCCTCTTTGTCCGCAGCCGCCCAGAGGAAGATCCTAGCTGCCCAGGGCCAGCTGTCAGCCCAGGGGGGTGCCCAGCCCTCAGTGGAGGCTCCAGCTGCCCCTCGGCCTACGGCCACCCAGCTGACCCGTGACCTGCTGCGAAGCCGTGGCATTGCTGGTCTCTACAAGGGACTCGGGGCCACGCTGCTCAGGTAGGAGGCACAGGGTGGATGGGAGGAGGGGTGGGGGAGGCCGGCCTGCCCAACCCACCACCTCCTGTCCACCACTTCCTGTCCCCATGGCCACCTCACTCCCCACAGGGACGTTCCCTTCTCCGTGGTCTACTTCCCGCTCTTTGCCAACCTGAACCAGCTGGGCCGCCCGGCGTCCGAGGAGAAGTCGCCTTTCTACGTGTCCTTCCTGGCCGGCTGTGTGGCCGGGAGTGCCGCCGCTGTGGCCGTCAACCCCTGTGATGGTCAGTGCATGGGACAGCGCCCGGCTGGGGATGGGGCGGGACTGAGCCCTTGGCCAGGCTCACACTGACCCGAGCATCCCTTGCAGTGGTGAAGACGCGGCTCCAGTCACTTCAGCGAGGCGTCAATGAGGACACCTACTCTGGGTTCCTGGACTGTGCCAGGTGGGGAGGTCCCACAGGGGGTGGGGCCTGGGGGCCTGCGTACCGGGCTGACCCTCCCCTCCTTCCTCCACAGGAAGATCCTGCGGCACGAGGGCCCCTCAGCCTTCCTGAAGGGCGCCTACTGCCGCGCGCTGGTCATCGCACCCCTTTTCGGCATCGCACAGGTGGTCTACTTCCTGGGCATCGCAGAGTCCCTGCTGGGGCTACTGCAGGACCCCCAGGCCTGAGCCCAGCACCCGCTCCACCCCAGCCAGCTGGGCAGGGCTGGTGTGGGGCTGGAGCCAGGCAGCTAGCCCAGGACGGAGCAAGGGAAGACCCCTCCCCAGCCCTCCTGTCGGCAGGGGCAGCAGGGGACGGGGTGCAGGGTCCACATAGGCGGTGCACACGCGAGCCCCCCGGTGTGCTGCCTGCATCGTTGGGATCAATGTCTTATTTATGTAGAAAATGCAGAAATCTTTACATTCCTCAAGCTAGCCCCTGCCCCAATCCTGCCCTGGCCTGAACACCCCCAGGGACAGAGCTGGTCTCTGGGCTGGGGGCCCCTGGGCCTGGGTTGGGCAGGCTGGACCATACCCCCAGCCCACCGGTTCCAGTCTCCACGGCCGTCCTGGTCCGCACAGGGACCCTGCACAAACCTATTTATTGAACCTGCTGGGCCCAAGTGGCTCTCCAGCCCTTCCGTCCTTCCCCAGCCGCTCTTGTCGCCTTGGCAGGACTGGACTCTGCCTCCCTGGCCAGCCTTGCAAGAGGACCGGGGTCTCCTGCCCTCTCTGTTGAGCCAGGAATCCCAAGCGAGGGGTTGCCCCGGGGTCTGACTCTCAGGGCAAGCCCGTCACCCACTGCGGGACTTTGTGGTGGGCCCCTCAGCTCCCACCCCAGGTTGGGGCCCAGACTGTGAGGTCTGTGTGCCTGTGTGTGTGCGTGTGTTGTGGGGATCTGGCCTGGCTCTTGGGGATGGGGCTGCCGGGGACTGCCCCCCTTCCAGCTGCGGCCAGGCGCTCTGTGTGCTGTGTGTGTCCCAGGCTCTGTTGACCCCGTCCAGGAACTTAGTTACCCAGCCTGACCTCTCTTCTGAGATTGGCCAGGGAGCGGGGCAGGCAAGGGGACCAGTGTGGAGCCTGAGGGTGCCTGCCCTGCTCTGGAGGGAGGGCCAGGAGCTGCCGCCCACCCCAAGTCCTCTCAGGGCCCACCCTCCTCTTTCCGCCTTTGCATAAGGCTCCTGGGTAAGCTCCAGAAGCCCCATCCTTCCTGCCTCTGGGCATAAGGCCCCTGAGCACACTTCAGAAGCCCCATTCCCCCTGCCTCCAGGCCGAGCCCTGCTGTGAGCCGAAGCTCTCCCTGCCCCACCCTGGCCATGTGATCGTGTTGGTGACAGACCCTGATGTGCTGGTGCTGTGTCCCCAAAACCGGGGCCCTCCACGGAGGCCCCTTCCCAGCGACACTACCTGGGGCTCAGGCCCGGACCCCTCCAGTTCACGGTTGCTCCTGGGAGCTGCCCCTCCCGTCACATCTGAACCTTGGAAGCTGCTGCTGCTGCTTTACAGAATTATATTTTTTTCTTTTGAAGAGTTTTAAGAAGTTGTAACTTTTTGTGTCTTGTCATGTCAGAGGATAAATAAATATTCTAAGTAGATGCTGCTGTCTGGGGGTCTGTTTGGGGGCAGGGGAGGGCAGTCCCCTCTTCCCATAACTGGCTCCCTTCAGACTGCAGGGCTATGCCTGCGCACCCACCCACCGACCAAGGGGCACCCTGGCCTGGAGGGGATGCTGGGCGGGACCCGCCTCCTGCCTCTGGCAGTCCCAGATGGGACTTGAACCCTGCAGTTGCTCTCCCTGACCCTAAGGTTCTCCCCCCCACCATCTAGGGTGGAGCTGGGTTTGCGGACCCCGCAGTTCCCGGCGGGGCGGGGCCCCGTCGCCCCTCCCCCTCCCCCTCCCCCTCCCCGCCCTCCTGCGCCGGGAGCAGTGCATTGTGGGAAACTCCCGAGCTCTCCGCGTTCGCAGCCGCCGTCGTCCCGTGGAGGAGCGCGCAGCCCAGGGGAGGCCGGAGGACGCGTAAGGCGGGGGGCTCCGGGCTGGCGGGGCGGGGCAGGCGCGGGGTCCTGCGGGGCGAGGAGGCGGCTCCGAGGCTTGAAGGTCACCGGGGTTGCGCGCGGGCCCCCCAGTTCTCCAGGGCGCAGCTGCTCTTGGGAGAAGGAGGCGGTGGCCGGGATGTAAGTGACACAAATAGCGAGGTTGGGGGGCAGACCACCTGCTCTTTGCAAACTTGATGCCCAGCAGCTGGGCCCCCCCCAGAGCTGCAGGGGTGAGGGGGCGGCTGGGCTTCCCTGAGAGGTCGGCAGCGGCTGGGCCTCTCCTGGAGACACCCTCATCACGCTGTGACCTTCGGGTGACCTTCAGTGTGGTCAGTGCACCTAGCGGGGGTGGGAAACGCGCCTCCCTTTCTCTGAAGGTCGGGGGATTTCTCATCCTTCCCTGGGAGAGGTAGACAGGCGGCCTCTGAGGCTTTGGGGCAAGAACCACTCAGGTTCAGGGCGGCTGGGCCCCCAGGGCTCTTCCCACCTGTGCCTGAGTCATTGAGAATCTGGGCACGGCCTTTCCCACAGCCCAGAGCCCTGTCCTCCACCCTGACTCGCCGGCCAAGAGCAGCGTGTGTCCACCCTGTTTAATGCCAGGAACCCTCTGCCCACAGAGACAGCACAGCCTTGGGCTCTGCAAGGACTCTGCCCCAGGGCTGGAGAGAGGCACGGCCTGTGCTGGGGAGGGGGCCTCAGAGGCTGGGGAGGAGCAGCCGGCCCTTGGAAGCACAGCCCCACACTGCCTTCCTGGAGAGACACCCCAGTTTTCTCAAGTCTGGTATCTCGTGGGCCCACCCACCCTGATGGCTGCCTGAGATCCCAGCTCCTGCCCCTCCCCGCCCTCTTCCACCAGGATCCTGGCCAGGTCACAGCCTCGGTGCCTCAGTGTCTGTCTCTGCAAAGCAGGAGTGCTCTCCTGAGGAGGGGATGCAGTCGGCTCTCCCACTGCGGCTCCAATCACCTCCCCTCCTTGGAGGGGAGAATGCTTTTCCTTCCAGTTCTCGGGGTCTGATCCTCACTTCCCCACCAAGAGGCCTCCTGCCCCTGGCTGGTAGGAGGATGTGGCATTTGCATGGGCCATTTTACGGAACACCAGGGGGCCCCTAGTTCCTCCCACCTGTGCGTGGCTCTTGCCTCTGCGGCTGGAGGGGTTCCTCCGGGAGTGGTCATGGACAGACGGAGACCAGGCTGTGAAAGAGAAGCGTCAGAGGCCCACAGGAAGCCCCTGAGCTGGGGCTCCGGGGACTCCAGAGAACTGGGCAGGGACTGCCTGGGGACCAGGTGGTCGGGGCAGCACAGGGGGGACTGGACCCACACGCAGCCTCCCTTGTGTCTCCCTCCAGGCCCATAGAATGCCCAGGAGTGACGAGCTGTCCTGAGCCCCTCTGGTGTACTCACCTGCCTGTCCCATACGCCCCGCCCACCATGGAGTCCAGAGGGAAGTCGGCCAGCAGCCCTAAGCCTGACACCAAGGCGCCCCAGGCCACCACCGAGGCCAAGGTACCCCCGGCAGCCGATGGGAAGGCCCCCTCGACCAAGCCCTCGAAGAAGGAGGCCCCGGCCGAGAAGCAGCAGCCGCCAGCGGCCCCCACCACGGTACCTGCCAAGAAGACCCCGGCCAAGGCCGACCCTGCCCTTCTCAACAACCACAGTAACCTGAAGCCGGCCCCCACGGCCCCCGCGGTCCCCAGCAGTCCCGATGCAACCCCAGAGGCCAAGGGTCCTGGGGATGGGGCGGAGGAGGACGAAGCTGCCGGTGGGGGGCTTGGGGGCCAAGGTCCCTGGTCCTGCGAGAACTTGAACCCCCTGCTGGTGGCTGGAGGTGTGGCCGTGGCAGCCATAGCCCTGATTCTCGGTGTGGCCTTCCTGGCCCGGAAAAAATAATACCTGGGGGCCAGGCGGGGGGCACGGAGCCACTTCCTGTACAGACCTGAGGAAGCCAGTGCATGCAGAGTTCACCCTTATCTACGTGTACACACGCACATTCATTACACACCTACATATGCCCCCAATACACGCGCAAAGTGGAGAGGATGCCCGAGCCCACCCCTGCTGACCCAGGACTTCCCCAACCTCCAGGGCAGAAAGAGTCCAGGCTCCGGGGTCCACAGCACAGGATGCGGGGAGAAGGCACAGCTGGGGAACCTCAAGAAAGGAATGGACCCCATGTGTGGGCCCCCCACCCCTGGCAGCTGGGTGATCCTGGGCCCCCAGGGCTGGTCTCTGAGTGGGGGTGCCGGGATGGGTTCTGCCTGGGCCCGGCCCTCGTGGGGACATTAAAGGGCACGGTTGCTCCACTTGCCCCAGTTCTGCTCTTTGTGTACCCCTGGGGGTCTGCCTGGGCCGATGCAGTGGGACAGACCTGGGGTGGGCAGTCACCTCAGCAGAGCCTCAGTGCCACCTCCCCACACCACCCAAGCCTAGCTGGGTGGGAAGACGGAGCCTGAAGCCTGCTTGTGGAGGGGATGCTGCCCAAGGGTCGCCTTCCCCACCTTGTGCTCCAGGGGAGCTCCGATGCTGGTGGGGAGGCAGGATGTCGAGGGCCCCTCACAGTTGTGCCCGCCCTGCCCCGCTAGACTGCCCCTCCAGCTTGCACCTGGCACCATCTGAGTCTAACCAGCGTATAAATGCAATAACAGGTAGAGTAGAACTGCTTGGCGGCGACCGTCACACACTGTCCTCAGCCCACCGTACCTGGGGAGGCCCCTTGTGCAGCCCCTCCTTAGCACATCCAGTCCCAGCGTGGTCTTTGGCGTGCAGCAGCAGGCGAGCTCCCAGAAGGTGGTGGTGGGCACTGTGAGAACGCAGCCTGCCCTCACTGGCCAGCGGCCACAGGAACCCTGGGCCTGAGTGGAGGCTGAGTCTGAAATAAACTCTGTTGTCTAAAGGCTGGGCTTGCATCCTTATCTGCATGTGGCTGGGAGACGCAGGGGCTTCCCACTGGGGAATGAGGGGTTCACGTCCACACCCCAGGCTTTCCAGGGGAGACGTGCTGCATCCAGGACCCTCTGACGGGACCCCCTGCCACTCCTATGCCCTTATCCCGGGGGGCTCAGCCCGGAGCCACACCCAGGCCCTGCCCCATCCTCCTCCCTGGCCTTCCTGTGGGTCCTGACCCAAGGTGGACACCCGGGGGCTACAGGACCAAGGAGCAGTGTGGACATGGGGTGCGGGGAGGGCAAGCCCTGCTTCTCAGGCCGAGCTCTCCAGCCAGGCAGGGGCCCTTCCGCATCTCCCACTGCAGCGAGTCCCCACATCCTGAGCGCAGAAGAGGCTCCCCTCAACACCTCTCATTCATGGCACCCAGCCCACTCTGACCGGGTGTCCAACTGGTGGGCCTGGCCACGGGTGAGGCTGCAGCACACCGGCCAACAGGGAGCAAGGCCTGTGGTGCCTGGGAACGGTTCCTTTGACCTCTGTCATCCTGGCCCCTGGGTTTCACCTGATGGGTGGCTAAGGCTGGCAGCAAGAGCTCCGTGATCACCTCCTCCCTGAAGCCTTCTTCCAGCTGGTGGGGGGGGACAGCCGTGTCTTCCTCCTGCCCTTCTGGCACACTCCCTCCCCAGAGCAGCAGTCCTCGTCCATGCACCCACACTGAGGCCCAGACAGATACGGAGGGCCCACAGGGTAGAACCAGCTTAAGCTGACCCTGTTGCTGCCACCCAGGTTGCCCTGCGAAAGCCTCCCTCGACCTCCATCCATGCCGCTGCATCCTACAAGTCAAGGAGGCAGCCTACCCCTTGAGCCTGCTGACCTGAGTCCAGCGTATAGAGAAGAAGGCTCTGTGCAGACGCTGCTGACACCTCCAACTCCCAGCTCACCTGCCCCATGGGTACCAGGCTACCTCTCTGACTGGCCAGCAGGGCCCCTCACCACTCTTGGCCTGCCTTCCAGTCACCCATTCTCTCCATTCTGTGGCTTGTTCTTTAAAACCAACCAGCCAACCCTGTCTGATATAGCAGGGGACTTGAAAGGGGCCGAGAGGACTGAAGATGGTCTGCCATCTTTAACCACAAGGCTTGGCGCTTTAGTGCTGACATTCCACCCACAATGCTGCCTCATTAACTTAGCGATTCTCTATTAAACGATGCTTAGATATTCCAAAACTTTTTCAACTTTAGACAGAGCAGGAATGAAAATCCTTGTAGGCCGGGCACGGTGGCTCACACCTGTAATCCCAGCACTTTGGGAGGCCAACACAGACAGATGGCTTGAGCTCAGGCGTTTGAGACCAGCCTGGCCAACATAGTGAGACCCCTGTCTCTACAATACAAATATAGCAAGGCACAGTGGCTCATGCCTGTAAGCCCAGCACTTTGGGAGGCCAAGGCGGGTGGATCACGAGGTCAGGAGTTCAAGACCAGCCTGACCAACATGGTGAAACCCTGTCTCTACTAAAAATACAAAAATTAGGCCTGGTGGCGGGCACCTATAATCCCAGCTACTCAGGAAGGTGAGGGAGGAGAATCGCTTGAACTCGGGAAGCAGAGATTGCAGTGAGCCGAGATCACACCACTGCACTCCAGCCTGGGTGAAAGAGCGAGACTCCATCTCA